CGACGTCGCTCGAGTCCGCCAGGAAGAGGGGCTGGGCCGTGTAGTGCACCAGCTGCTTCCCTGCAAAGAGAGAGTTTGCACGAGGGCAGCACCTTTCGGGCCGGGCAGCAGGCCCAGCTAACCCAACGCCGGGCAGAGGAACAAGAGCGACAAGGTTTTGCGCTTGAAACCGCCAGCATCGCCCGCTTCCTCGCTGCTTGCAAGAAAAAGCGCTCCTCGCCACTCGGGCGATGAGACAGCAGGGCTCGGGCGAGGCTTTTTGGCACATCAGCACGGAAGGAGAATTTGACCGTAGCAGGGTTCCAGCCCGCTCTCTGGGACATGCAGTGAGGGACCGGGGGCTTTTCCGTGCCTCTGCGGACACGCTGACGGCACAGGGAGAGCGCCCTGACCGGGCTGCGAGATGCAGAGCCCGCAGCTGGGTGCCGGGGTTGCTGCCGTGAAGGAAGAGCAGCACCGTGACGGCTCACGCGATTCCGCGCAGACGGGAATCCCAGGAGGGCTGGGGCCGGCGGCGACCTCGAGCGCATCCGGTCCGAGCCCCTGCTCAGGCAGGGAGCAGCCTGCCCAGGACCGTGTCCGAGTATCTCCAAGGGTGGAGGCTCCCCAGCCTCTCCGGGCAGCCTGTGCCGGAGCTTGACCACCCTCACGGGAAAAAAAAAAAAAATCGCTTTCTTGTGTTCTGATGGAATTTCATGGGTTTCAGTTTGTGCCATGGCCTCTTGCCCTGCCCCTGGGCACGGCTGAGGAGAGCCTGGCTCCCTCTGCTCCATTCCTTCCCACCAAGGATTTGCACATACAGCTCCCCCTCCATACGTCCTCTTTGCCATGCTCAACAGCCTCATCTCTCGCAGCCAAATACGCTTTTTGGGAGGAGAAATGATTTTGCCAGAGCCTCAATTCTCGTGCTGCTGAGTCACTAAACGCCGAGACGGCTGCCCGGTACCTGTGTCTGCTGTGCTGGCCTCTGTCTCAGTAGGTTTCTGCTGTTCCTGGGATGAAAGGAGATCCTGAATCTGCAGGGAGAAAGGATGGGTCGGTAAGCGCATCGCACGGGGCAGACGTGCGTGGGTCCCGCCTCGGGACTGCCCCAACGCACGCGCTGGACAAAGCAAGCCGGGGTTTACAGTCTCGAAGCCGCACTGAGGCAGAGAGGGACATCCTCAGAGGTTTGCAGGGTTGTCGGTGAGCCCGCACGCAGCCAGACGCAGCCTGTGCGCAGCGCTCCGGCTCCCAGGTCGCAACCGCGGGCGGTTCGGACCGTACACGACTCCCCGGGCCAAACCTGGTTTCACAGATCCTCTCCTACACGCAAAGGTCCTGCTCTGCTCTGCTCCCTTTGATCACAGCCTTTCTGCAGCTCGGGATCTAAAATCCCAGGGAAAGCCTTCAGGACAGGTTTGTAATGAGCCTTTTTTTTTTTTTTCCCCAATTTATTTTTATTTATTGAAAGTCTTATTGCAACTAAAGCACCTGAGAGCTGCAGGTCCCGGCAAACTGCCAGAGCGACCCGGGCTGTGGCTGAGGACACGATCCCGTTTCACACCCCTGTCCCACAGGCACGGCTGGGCTGGAAAGGCGGAGAAGCGAGCGTTAAAGGGAGAAAAACTTTGGAAGCGGGAGAAACCACTCTGCCCACCCGAGAAGCTCCGCTCACTGCAAAGCCGGGGGAGAAGCCCTGCCAACCCGCAGAGCCAGGGGAACACGGCGCGGAGCCTGCGGATCCCAGACCGCTGAGCAGGATTCTGCACCGGCGCTGCTGCGGGGACAGCGCTCGAGCAGAGATTCTCCTGCGGGATCACTTCCCCGCTCTGGAATTACAGTCCGCTAATAATCCCGTGGCTGCTTATTACAGCAACTGCTGCCACGGAAAAGTCACCTTAGCAAGTACTTAAATGCGCACCCAGCCTTTTTTTGTTACCACTGAGCAACTGGCACTAAGTACAAGCAGACCACTCGCGAGCACGCAGGTCTTCGCAGCCCGCCTGGCCGCAATTTAGGAACCCCGCAGCTCAACCTACAGCCAGCGCGGGGATTTTTGTAGTGCGAAGGCCGGGTGAAGACAAAGCCCAGCAAAACGCTCCTCCCAACAGCACAGAGATGAGAAAAATGATACGCACGTGACCTTGGTCCAAACGCTACCTGAGCTGAAGAGCTAAGGCGTGAACTTCAGAAGGACGCCAGTTACGACTCTTTCGGTAAATCCTGCTTCCAGATTTTCTACGCTGTAACTCTCAGCCCAACAACATGAAGTAATTCATTTCTGAATTACTGAATCTTCACTGTTCACGTTCTTCTCCCCAGTCCTGCTAATGCCCGGTCCTGCTCTCCCTGCCCAGCCCGCCCCAGCCCCAGCCGAGCCCGCACTCAGTAGGAAACTTGGTTAAACAACGTGCGGGGTAGGTATTTGTCTGCGCATGGGTAAAACGGCGCTCTGCACCGCCGCGCTTCCCCCTACAGCCCTTTTTCCCTGCAAATATCCCGAGAATGTGGCCAGCCATCGGGTGCCTGTGTCACAGCACCGGGCAGCAGGAAGAAGCGGAAAGGCAGAGAAACGTCCAGCGAGAGACACGCACCAGAGACGCCGCACCAATTATTCACTGGGAACTCCTGTTCTGCATTGCACCCCGCATCCCAGGCGCACTCTACTGCAGGGTCAATCAGACCCCAAAAGAACTGATTTTTTTTTTTTTTTTTCTCAGGGAAAAGCCACGAGGTCTCTAAAAGTGTAAATTGGAGAGGAGCACGGTGCTGCCCGTGCTCTCCCTGCTCCCTAACACCGGCATTAACACCTTCGCAGCCATCCCAGGAGCGTACGCTGCATCACCTGTGCGCCCACAAGGTCCCCAGCAAGGAGACTAAATTTGGGCTTTCCTGTTTTGCAAAAACTTTCAAGATGTTTCCTGTTCTGCACTGGGGGAAAAACCACAAGATCCCTTTGTGCTTTTTCAGATGGGAAAAAAAAAAAAAAGCAAGCAGCGGGGGAGGGAAGAAGGGGTTAGAGAGCAGCTGAGGGTCTCTTGCTCGCTGTGTCAAGCGGACCAGGAGTCCCCTGCTTGGTCTGAGCTGGCCCTGACTCTCCTGCACGCCTGCAAGCTGTTGTTTATCTCGGTCTCCCTCTCAGTTTTTCTTACAGAGCTGTCCCAATTCGTGCGAATACCGATACAGGTCCCAGGGCAGAGAAAGGCCAGCGCCGCAGCCCTGGAGCTGGAGCGTGCACGGAGCTGGCACAAGAGCGGGGCTGTGAACCAGGGCGGGGAGAAGGGCTTGGCTCTGCCCCAGCCCGGGAGCGCTCCAGTCACCGGGCTGCCGGCTGCTCTGAGGGTCTGGGACCCGCTGGGTTGGAGCGTAACTTCCACCCCGCTGCTCCAAGCGCCTTCCCAGTGCAGCCACGAAACGCTGCGTGTGACCGATCGTCGTTATCTAATGAAAAAAAATCATTTTATCAGGCAACACTGGCTCTTGCAAGGAGAGGCTGCATTAGCGCCTCGCATGGCATTCAGTGCCGACGATAAGCAAGTAAATAAAATAAGTAACACAGCACATGATGGAGTTTGCCTTGAGAAAACCTCCTGACAATTGAAGCAAGTCAAAAGGAGGGTTTATGGAAACCACATGCAGCTCTCTAGGCTTCAGTGCACTTCCACGTTCAGGGGGCAGAGCTCACATGAGAGATGGAAGTCTCAGCACCTAATTAACCGAGTATGAATGATGAAGTAGCCCGGCTCTCTGTATGAGCTGCTCAGAGAAAGCCGCAGTGCTAATTGAATTATTTCCCCCCGGTGGCTCCCCAAGCCTGCACAGGGCTCCGCGTTCCTCCTCTCTCCCACATCCCCTCCCGTCGGGCTGGGGCTGGCCTGGACACTCTTCAGAGCCTGTCAGAGCCTTCCTTTAATCACACGGAGAGGCTGCTGCAGAACAGCAGGACACACTTCATTCTGGCAGCTGTGTGTGCATGGAGGGATTTTTAACAGCTACTCACACTGGCAAGGCTGCTGTCCAGGTCGGGAAGGTTCATGTCTGTAACCGTCATTGAAGGGCTAAACAGCTGCCAAAGGAAAGAATGAT